CCCCTTAGTTTCAGATCAATTTTGCGACCCTCCCCCCCCCCCCCCGAAGTTTCAGATCAATTTTTCGCTATCTCAGTAAAAGACAAATTTTGCGCCCCCGGTCAATAATGTATATATTTTCCGCCAACTAAGGTTCAGAAAAATGACAGTGCTGATTAAGCACTGTCATTTTTCTGTTCTTTTTTCGAAGTTTAATATTTTTCGTTATATACTTTCAATTATTTCGCTCTATATCTAACACCATCACTTTAATACGGCACATAACATGTGAACGCAGCGTAGACATATGATGGAAGGCACGTTTGAAAGGGAGAGGAAGAGAGAGAGAGAGAAAGAGAGAGAGAGAGGGAGGGGGGGGGCGTCGAAGACCAAAGGGGAACCTTTGACCCATGTATTGTTCGTGAAATGCATGCAATACTGTTTAATGCACCCATAGGCATGCAGGGATGGGCCATAGAGTACCCTTAATATACAAAGAGTTGCGACACGAAGCGTCCGTTTTGTTGCGTTTTGTTGGAAACAGATATGGCGTTTGAATTATAATTTGGACATGCATGAAGTAATCAGTTGATTGAGTGAAACAAGCCCGGATGCGTGTGGCATGGAAAATTAAGGCATGCCATTAATGGCGTGCGACCTATGCCTTGGACGTGTCGGGCAGCATGCTAAGACATTTTCGACGTCATGCTTTACTCAATATATTTACAGAACATTCATCTAACATTGAACATTAGACAAATCTAACATTATTAAAAAAGAATCACCCCTCCCTCCATACACATAGCCTTTGCCATGCCGATACTTTGGGTAATTCAAGTTAGGCAGCCTTAATCCGCGCCATGACGCACCGCCACACGAACAAGTAACAACAACAGCATAAGGCAATTAACACAAATATACATGTTTAGCGTCCCCGCCCGCTTCCTTTTTGGGGGTCCCCTCCTTTTTTTTCTTCTTTTTTTTTAAGTAAAAAAAACATAAAAACACTGTTAAAGGTACTAAGTCCCATTTGCAGGCCAAAAAATGAAAAGGTTAAATTCCAACGGCATTTGAAAGACAATACTAATTTAGAACTTCCCTATAAAAAGGGAGCTTGAAAATGTCTTTAAGTGGGAAAATGAAGACTATTAGTCGTCGAATCGACTTAGGAGCCATAGAGCCAGTAAGTAATAGTCTGATTTTCAGACCATTGTACGGAATGGTCGTACGTTTTATGCTTCGCAAAGATTCAATTAGTTTAATTTTTGCCATTACAAGAAGTGGGTTATTGATGTAGACAAATGCTCATGTACCCTTTACAGCTCACTTAATATATATGTTATTACCAAAGATGAAAAAAGCCAGCCAGTCACCCAATAGTGTCTGACAGTGAAGTCAAGCAAGTAAACCGGTTTCATTGCATAATTTGAATATTAGGACACTGCTCAAGTTTAAATTTCACAGATAGGACATACATAACATATTCATAATTCCTGCAAAGTTCTACAGAATTTGATGTAGGCTGCAAAAGGGACATAGTATCTTTAAAATGGATTTATTTCTGATTTTAAAATTTAAAAAAAATCCCCTCAGCCATCTTGGCTGCAGTGAAAATGTACCAAGCGGCCATTTTGAAAAAGAAAAAAAAGAAGAAAAAAGACCTCCTCCTTCCTATTTTTTGAAAAGGCAGGACGCTAAACATTTTTATTTTATTTGGCCTAATATGTCGCCGTCATGTTTTCAAGTTCTGATGAGTTGCGTTTTAAAGTTAAGTCTAGAAATCAGGGGCACTTTATCTTTCGAAGAAAATATAAATCTAAGGTCGCCTCTATCGGTTATTTGGGGACTAAATAGATATGAATGAGGCCAAATAACAAAAACGAAGTGTTTCTCGCCTCCTTTTTGGCCGCCGCCTCCTTTTTTTGTTTTACTATTCCGGAACCCCCCCCCCCCCCCAACAACAAAAAAGCATGTGGTATATATTTTGTTTAAATATCTTCTAAAGTGATACAAATCATTTATTTTGTCACACATTACATCACTATACTCACTTAGCACAATATCTATGAATAAATGGGCTTGGCCAGCTATAATAAGCAATTGGCAGCCATCTTGGAAAAAAAATGAAAAATATAGGATTTCCCGGCCAAATTCGCGAGTTTGTCATTCAAATTAATTTGTCTTGCGTTCAATTTCGACGGTTTTAGTGCAGTCAGGTATATATCGGGTTTATATTCCCTTTTCTAGTTTTCAAATCTATGGAATTTTCGTTAGAATCTACGTATGTTTCATTCAAATTAATAAACAATGTGCTCCTTTCGCTATTTGGTCATTCGATTTGGCGCAACACGATTTTCTGACAACGCGACTGTGTACTTCTAGCATTCTAATTCATTTGTAGCATTCAAATTAGCACTTTGTGCAATTAAATTGATGGTCAATATACATTTCTCGTTTATTACACACTTTTTATAGTTCATTTTTTTTTCTTTCAAGATTGTTTTTTCATGTGTATTTCATCATATTTCATTTTCTTGCATTTATACACTTATACTTATTAGATTTATCTGATATTCATCAGCATTTAATTTTGATTGTTAAGAAGAAGAAAAAAACGACTTGCATCTACGGACCTGATGGTCTCAGTTTATTTGTAAATGTTCAGGTAAGGAAGTTGTTGTCTTATGTTTCATCATAAATTTATCATAATTTCATCATAATTTCTTTATGGAAGAAGGGTACAATATTGTGACTGGGGTAGGGACTAGAGTCAACAATTTGAACAAGATTCATTATTTAGCCATGTCTTTAGCCATCGATCTGCTGGCGGGCAAGTAAACTATGAAGCTCTTTAAGAAAAACAGAGTGGTGTGCTGGGTATAAGAGACGATGTGAATTACTTTTGTAAAATTCCGAGTCTGTAGTAAAAAAAAAAAAAAAGGGGCGATTGAGGGTACCCCCACCTTTCCCGGGTATATTGTTTGAACATGTCTGTGCAGAAATGCCTTATCCCTTGATTTCGCCCCTTCTTTACTTTATGTCTGACTACACCCATCTGCATTGTTCTGAAAATAAATAAATGGAATAACAGCTTAGACCCCAATGGCAAATCATGCATTTTAACTGCATTATTTAAAAACTGTAAAAGTTTGTTGCAATTTTTCCCCCTAACATTCCTAACTTGAATAACAATGTTACGAATACGAATGACAAGAGTTAATTTGAATGATAAAAATTACGCTTCGACAAGTGAATATTAATTTGAATGCTAGTTGAGCAGTTTCTAAATTGAATGACAGATCTATGAAACCCTTCGACCAAAATCCTAAATTAAATACAAAAACTGGAAAATTGAATGATAATTGGCATGGCAAAGCCGATCTGCGCTAACTTAAATGCAAAGTAAATGAATTCGAATGACAAACACGCGAGTTTGGCCGGGAAATCCCTTAGTAAAAAGTAATGCCCTGCATGCCTCCTCCGTTTTGTGTTAAAGTCTGGACGAGAAACGTGTTATTTTTATTATTTGGCTTAATAACAAACAAGTCAATGGCGAGCTCATCAACTAAGCATCTGTTGGCATATACTAGTAGCTTTTTACTATTCGTGCGCTCACTCAACACCAGTTTGATCGCTTTTGTCCGGCTTGTCAGATTCTATTGTTCTGGCGCGGGTTAAGGCTGCCTAACTTGAATTACCCAAAGTGTCGGCATGGCATAGGCTATGTGTGTGGAGGGGGGGGGGGTGATTCTTTTTATTTTTGTATTTGTTAGATTTGTCTGATGTTCAATGTTTGATGAATGTTCTGTAAATATATTGAGTAAAGCATGACGAATAAAATGTCTTACCATGCTGCCCGGCACGTCGGGGGCATGGGTCGCACCCTATTAATGGCATGCCTTATTTTTCCCTGCCGCACGCAAGGGGCTTGTTTCACCCAATCAACTGATGACTCCAAGCATGTCCAAATGATAATTCAAACGCCATAACTGTTTCCAACAAAACGCAACAAAACGGACGCTTCGTGTCACAACTCTTGGTATATAAAAGGGACTCTATGCGCCATCCCTGCAAGGCCTGTGGGCGCATTAAACAGTATTGCATGGATTTCACGAACAATACATGGGTCAAAGAAGAGGAAGAAGCAAAGAAAAGGGGGTAAGGAGATCGAGGGCCTTGCCTCTCAGGCTGTTACCTCCCCAACCCTCCCCAACCCAACTCCAATCAACAGTGGCGTAGCCAGAGCTTGATGTTTGGGGGGCACATACATTTAATTGATCAATGTCCTGGGGAGGGGACTAAGAGGAGGGGTGTCTCCCTTCCCTTTGGAAATGTTTTGCCTATTTAAAAGGGTGAAGATGCAAAATCATGTTTTTTGACATAAATTCACTCTAATGTGGATGTCATTTTATCATAAAAACGGAATTTCAAAATCACGATCAGCTCATTCAAGCATGTATCTCATCTGTACAAATGCACGGCAACTATATTATATGAGTAGGAATTTCTTCCTGACATCTTTTATATAAGCACCACAGTGGTCTGGTGGTACCACGTCATCTCCCATTTTGACAGTGAGTTTCCTTAGCTACCTTTGCCAATATGATGGTATACAGTGATGGAAAAGAAAATACGATCTCACCTGTTCGTATATCTTCGTGTGTCCGCTTAGAAGAGTTGAATCCTTGTTCTCTGTTCCCGCTGCGAAAACTTCTTCAGCACCTCCACTGGATTAGTTTGTAACTCCTTACTTCTTTCACCGGACACATAAATAACTCCAAGATCAGAGAGCCGTTGATTTCTCATTGTACTCCGTAAATAGTTCTTGATATACTTCATTGCAGAGAAACTTCTCTCGCATACAGCCGAAGAAACCGGTAATGTCAAAGCCAACTGGGTCGTTTTCCGCAGATTGGGTAAACTAGCCGAGGGTATCAACTTTTCCATGCTGGAAAAGCTATTTGCATTGTGCCTTCTAGATGAATCGGGGGTGCTGGAGTCCTTCTGTTTATTGCTGATGATTAATTTTGTCTGGCCATTATCATTTCAGCCTTCAGTAGCTGAACGTCCACATCCAGAGAATCTGTGTATAGTTCAACAAAGGGTTCGACAGCAGAGAATTTGAGGAAGTTGACAGAGGAAGGTGTCAGTAGCGCGTCAACACCTTGCATGATTGCAATGTTGGATGCAGAGAAACGCCTGGTCATCTCAGATTTGAATGCATCCAGTATAGGGAGAAAGGTGTTGACACGAAGGTCATCAAGGAACTCAGCACTTGACTCAGCCTCTGATTGACTCCGATGACCAGTCGAAGCCATGAGGAAACTATCATCAAAGGTTCGTTGCTTCCTCCGGCGCTTTGGTTGCGGCACTGTAGGGATGTTGTTGTCCTCACAAATCCGAGTGATATCTTGCACTAAATCAGGCCACCCAGATGCCCGTGTTTCCTCGGCAATTGATATCACAGAGTTGATCATGGTCACAGCATTCCCTAAGTTGGCGTCATTGGCTTGCAAGGTCTCACTGAGTGCCTGGGAGTGAGACAGCAATGTCATCAACACTTCCAAGTGAGTGACGAATGAAACGCTCATCGCTTGATTGAGAAGTCCTCGAGCTTCAACCACGAGTTTCGGATCTCGTTTCGATTCTTGTGAGTCACAGAAATGCTCCAAGACCTCAAGTATATAACTATACCGCGTCTTCAAAGTAGAAAGCGACTGGTAACGACAAACCCACCGCGTGTCACTCAGTCGGACGAGTTCTTTAACTCGACACTTGGCTCGTTGCTGGTAGTCTACAAAAACTTTATGGACGAGGGAACGGGTCATGAAGACGTACAACGCTTCCAACAAGACAAAGAACTCGCCGGCAGAACTCACGTTTTTACACATATCCACAAGGACCAGATTGAGCCTGTGCGCATGACAGTGGACATACTGGGCGTTCGGAAAATGTTCTTTCAGTCGTGCTTGTACTCCACTCAGATGTCCAGACATAACACTCGCACCATCATAGCACTGGCCCACAATGTCAAATTTTCTCAAGCCAAGTTTACCAACTTCTCGCACTATCTGGTTGGAAAGTGACTTGGCGTCAAGATCATCTGCTTCATGAAAGTCTAAGAATTCCTCATGCAAGATATGTCCCTCTGCTTCTTTGTATTCGGCATATCGCAAGCAAATGCTGATTTGTTCTTTCTTTGAGACGTCTTTACTCTCATCCACAATGATTGTGGCCAATCCTGCAGAGTTCACCTCCTCCGCAATTTGTTCCCGAATTATTTCCGCTGTCACGTTCAGGAGCTCATTCTGAATTTCGGCGCTGAGATAAGTAGCATTGAGAGGCATCGTTTTGATTCTTTCACCGAAAGCAGGATTGGCATCACCGATCAGAGAACACAGTTCTAAAAAGTTCCCTCGATTAAGTGAGTCCGCACTCTCGTTATGACCCCTCAATGCTATTCCCTGTCTTGCGAGGAAAATGATTACTTTAGAAATCTGGGTTATGTATGCCCAGTTTTCCTTCACTATTCGAGAGTATTGTCCGGATATTTTGGAAGCAATGCTGCCTTCACTCAGACTTTGAAGGTAGTGGTGCCATCTTGAAAACGAAGTCTTGTGGCTTTCACTTTCGCTGTGCTTCCTAAATTTCTCGATAGCCTTCTTCCATTGATTTATCCCATTTTCAGTGAAATTGTGTTCTTTGTGACCGGATATTGACGGGAAAATCCGGCAAGAGTAGCAGAAGGCAGCATCACTGATTGCGGAGTATTCCAGCCAATTGTTTGTACCAATCTTTGTTGAACGATCGATTTTTCCCACCTGTTTTAACTTGAGGGAATGACGCTAGGATTGGTTGTTTCGGTCCAGAATCCTTTGATCCTAAATCCAACAACCCAGCATTACTCTCAGCCTCACTTATCAGTTTCACATCACTTTCCGACGATCCAGCACTTGTTCTACTGGATGGACCCGGTTGCAGTGTTACTGATGATTCTCGCAGACCTCCCTCTTTCAATTCCTCATGTTCCTCTCGAAATTCCTCTGTTTTGCGTGATTTACTGTCACTAAATTCCGCTCCTGATTTACCCCGACTCGTGAATCCAAATTTAAAAAGAGACATTTTTCATTGTAATACTGAAATAATTATCAGAGCAGTGTATGTAATCCAGCGTAGTCAATAGTAGTGGCCAATCATAAATCCTAATTAATGTACTGTGTATCTATAGATACTGCACTGTACAGTACGTACACACCGAAAAATGTCCATAATATACAACTTCACCTTACGCGCATATAGTCAAAACAATGAACCCATTGTTCAGTCGGTAGATTCATCCACACAGGCTATTATGTAATTTACTTTCGGAATGTTTCAGTTATCAGAAATTCTGAAAAATGGCTGCTTAATGTGATATAGGTGAAATGAAGTTGAAGGCATAATAAAATAAAGTTATGAAGAATGTGTGAAGTAAATAGTATAAGGCTTTTGTTTTCATAATAAAAAAAGTTCAATCGATCTTGGAAATTTTTTGGGGGCACGTGCCCCCCCGTGCCCCCCCCCCCCCCCCCCGTGGCTACGCGCCTGCCAATCAAAACAAATTAAGAGCGAAAGAAGGAAAGGGAAAGAAAAAAGGAAAAGAGGAGATAAAGGACAGGGGAAAAGAAGAAAAGAAAAGAAAAGACAAGAAGCCAACAAGTTGTGGATCGGGGGAGGCAAAATTCAAACGTGGTTTATTTCTAATTCCATAACCTTACGGTGACTTACAAATGTTGCTAAATGATGGTCATTTTACGGTAATTTAATGCCTAAAACCCCTGAAATTCTTGGGGCTCCGTCCCCTAGACCTCAAGTCAAAGAGTGTCCTGCCAGTGTCACAAAATAATATGGTATCAAAAAATACTCACCTGACGGTAATAAAAACGCCTTAAACCCCTGAGCTTCCGGCGGCTCTGCCTTCTGGACCAAACCAAAGGCCCTAAAGCGGGCCCCTGAATGTTTATCTGACCGTAATTAAACGCCTAAAATCCCTGAGCTCCCGGGGGCTCCGCCCCTGAACCCCATGCCAATACGTGACCTGCCAGTGTCACAATAAGGTCCCCTCCCCCCCCCCCCCCAAAAAAAAAGAGAGGAGAAAAAGGAAGAGGACATAGGAAGAAAAAGTAGCAGACAAAGAACTTTTTTTTTAAATTCAGACAAGGATTAAGAGTCGAGAAATCTACAAAGAATCGTCTTCTTTCTCTAGTAATATTTTTAAAAAACTTCAAAGCTTCCACGCTTCGCGCAGGAGGGGGGAGGGGCAATTGAATTCAGACATGGATTAAGAGTTCATCTTCTCTTTCTCTAAAGGCAGGCTTTACTACTTCAGCCAGAAGGGATTAGACCGCCCAGCGAGCCAGCGAGGTCACTGTGACAGGTGGCTATCTCATTAAAGGAATAGTTGAGTGTTGGTCAATACTCACATTAGCGAACGAAACTATGATCTAAACATAAAAAACATACAATAAATGTCTAAGAATGCATCATTGAAGATATAAATCCGAAATATTACATTAGAGTGAATTTATATGCAAAAAACCTGTTCGACTGCAAATGATTTTATTTATCAAAAATTTTACTTTCGAGGCGTGTTCAGTGTAATTGTATAGCGCCACCTCTCGGTCAAGCGGCAGCACACCGTGAATTTTCGCCAAGACGACGATCGGATATGGGCGTGCAAGTAATATCCGAACCATGTCTATAGCGCGCTGACTGATTTATATTGTACACATTATGGTATGCGAAGCCTGCACATAATTGCATGGTCTGTGGTACTGGTAGCGCTATTGTTTTTGAGCGCGATATGCGAATACTGTATGTGTATGTAGTGCGAGTACGCTCGACCTAGTAGTAGTGTATGTGTATGTATTGTACGTCGTATGACCCAGTTGATTACTTCTACAGTGTAAAGAAAGTGGCTTACTCTATCTATCAACCAATATGTGAGACAACGCAAGGGCAATTTTGTATTTCGTTTGTAGGAACAAAGCTGTGGAATGATCTCCCAGATGAAATTAGATTAAAAACATCGAGGTTATCTGTCCACCTACCTTCTATGTAAATGACGTGGGCCTTCGTTTTTCCTTTTATATTACTTGTCTTCCTTTTATAATATGTGAAGAGTTTCATTCCAAAAGGAGCCAAATCCACTTTGGGTACTTCTGAGTAAATTGCCTTTTTTATTTCTCCACTTTCCCTTTAGCCATGTATACCTTCATGTTGTTATATATGTTGAAGGTGTCACCCTGCATGGACCTGATTATCTGCCAATAATGATAAGAAAAAATCTTCCCTTCGGCTTTTCTGATGTTTACTAAATTTTTTGATTTTTTATTTTCGTGGATTTAGCTCCTTTTGGAATGAAACATGTTATTGTACCTAAAAAATAAAAAATAAATCATATTTTCTCAATAAAGTCACTGAAATTTTATTCAAATTTAGCAGCAAACCTTTCCTTTTAAATAATAATAGTGAAATCACACATAAATATAACCTTTCGAAAAGAAAGTAAACAACATTATTACAGTTTCATTCCAAAAGGAGCTAAATCCATTCAATTCCAAAAGAAGCTAAATCCATGTTTCATTCAAAAAGGAATTACTAAATCCACATTTTTTTTTTGGCACATATCGCACGACAACCAAATGCCCTAAGATGTTGATACCCACTTTGATAGAAAAATAAGGTTTTACAAAATGGAAAAATACTAGAAGAGAAAAGGTAAGAAAGAGTAAAGACGGATTGAGGACGGTAAACCCCAAACAAGAGACTACCCCAGAATCCTCTCACCGGCACCAGAGTTGCCTAGGCCAATGATGGCCGAGAAGATTGCGCAATGTACCGCGCCGGTCTGGCAGGAAGGTGCCAATTGCGGTGAGGGGTTTTCATGGACCAGTAGATCTGAGATTATATTATCCAAAAAAAAAGAGATGAATATGAATTGACAAATAGTACCAAAAATAGAAGAAAAAACAGAAATAAAGTGAAAGGCGTAAATATTCTAAAAAAGAATGAAACGCCGATAATACCAAACAACAACAACAACACAAAATCTAAAAATTTGATAGAAATCAGAAATAACTGGTGGATTTTTTGTCTTATCATATGTTATAGGTCCAGAGCGACACCTTTAACATATATAACAACATGAAGGTACATGGCTAAAGGGAAAGTGGAGAAATAAAAAGAAATAAATTTTAAAAAAATTAAAAATTGTTGTATCAGTATACTATAATGAATAACAGTAGTGAATTAATTTAACATCTTACTTGATTCATACTTGTCCATAATGCAGTGTTTTTCAGTATTCTTATTTTGGTACTGCATGCAATTGTAAAGTTTAAACAAAAAAGTGATTGTAACTTCTTGTAAATAAGTTGTGTTCTACAGTGCCTGTGTATTGCATGACCTACGTCAGTACGTGATAACTTGTAAATGTGTAAAGACATAAGATTTTAATATAATTATAGTAATGCTAAAATGAAGATACATAACATATTTTTATGGTGTACATTGAAAGCTTTATTCGGCCATAACTAACAGTTAAATTTACACAACATTATTGAGATGAATACAAATTATAATTGCTGTACTGAAGGCAATATTTAAACGTGATGTTGATTTCAACCATTGCATACAAACAGATCATGTGTATTAAAAAAGGCACATTTTTATTTAGCATCTATCGCTATGACAACTTTAACCGTCGTCATTAAGAAGGAGCAATATACTTTATTTGTATACCACCATGTCTTGTTACTTATTAGTTACTGCTTATTTATATACATCTTATCTTGTGTCTTTCATAAAAACTTGACATACTCTATAGGCAATGTGTAGATAAGTTTACCAAAGAAAAGTATCTATAACAGTAATGTTTCTACGCGCTTGACAAATATACTATTACCCCGGTCATTTGATTCAGTGCTTGCCCGCACACAATGTTTTGACTAGTACGTGATCATACAAATTTTGCCGAGAAACTGCCTACTAATTGATATATTTGGTAAATTATTATATCTATTTGGACTTGATAGATATAACGCATGTGTCGCGCACTTGTGCGTAGTCCCATATACATCTTTCTGTGTACAGTGCTTGTAACTTTACCAAGACTGGGCCAATTTTTTTATCATTTCGATGATTCTAGAACCTTGCAGTACACACCAAGACTTATATGCTAGATGATCAACCTTCTCTGATCGATTCCACAACAATCCTTTCACAATGCAGTCGCATGACCATAACTGGTTTTATCTTTTAAGTTTCACATCTTACTTTATATATAAATGCTTTAAAAATTGTCTGA